AGGTGAAGGCTGTGCACAGCATCGGTACCAGCTCGTCGCAAAACGCGGAGGGTTCGTCGCGGCCATTGTGCACCCGGCGTCGTCCAAAAAAGGAGAGCACGTGCCCTGAAGGGTTAGGGAGATGCGAAAGGCAAAAAGGCAGCAACATGCAACAGCAAAGATTCGCCTGGAGGTTGCGTTGACCCGCTGTACCTGGAGGTTGAACAAAGGCTTCCAAGCAGCTGAGCAAAATGCTCAAAGGCATCAGCTGCTTGTGGGCGGGGAACGAAAGGACAGGTTGCGGCGGGAGGGCTCTCCACAAATCGTGGCGAACAACTTGATCAGGCGCATGACAACAGAAAACGCTTCACAGGCCATTCGCATCTGAGCTGAAGGGGAACACTTCAGCAGTTCTGTCAGCTTGCCATTCCCGGTCTCCATTTCGGGCGATGGCATGGTGTGGCACTGTGTCTGTGTATGTCAATGCTGCTGGCAGAAGCCATGCTGCCAACACATGTCGCATGCAAAGAATCAATGTGTATGTTACATGGTACCATGAACACCATGAAGCTATGATGGATACCTACCTGCCGGAGGAATGAAATACTTGTATGTGTTGTGAAACTCTTTTGGAGGCATCACACATTGGCACTCAGAGTGGTCGGCAAACTTGATTTCTTTTGGATTTGTTCAACATACCAGGGTCAAAAGCAAAGACCTTGTGGCTAGACGCTACTAGTAACAAGGGCATCGCTACTACTAAGAAGGGCATTACTAGTAGCTAAAAGCTACTAGTAACAAAGACCTCAATAATTGCTTGCTCTGTTGTCATGGTTTCTTCTGACATAGGTGAGATTGTCTGCTTTTCTTGTTGGCCATCAGGAGCTGCTTTTCAAAGACTGCCAGTGGCCTTGTCTGACAACCATCCTCTAGGCAGGATCAGCTCTGCATGGGTTTTCATCAGCTGCAGCTTGTCTTTAGACAATATGTCGACAGGATATGACGGGATGACATGCACAAAGAAGGAAGATCCGCCAATCAAGCTGATATGCGAGTTACAAATAGCGCCACGAACCACCAAACAACGAGGAGCGACTCACGGTGGGGATGAGAATGAACATCTTTTGGTTAAATGATAACGCATGATAACACTGTGTACACATGTTCAGTCATTCACGAGTCAAAGGTACCTCACCGTCTATCTATTCTGTTACCAAAGTTTGGGAGGTTTTGGGAGGTCTCTGCGACCTTCCTTCAACACACGCGGAGCCTGGTCGCACGTCCTGGGGCGGTTTCGTCGGTCCGTGTTCGGCGAAGAAGGGCGAAGAAGGCCGGAAAGCAGTTGCGTGCCGACTCAGTGGCTCCAAGCTGGGCGGAGTATGTAGACTCTTGGTTAAACCCTCCCCATTTGGGATGGGAAACACCAATCAAGAGTCGACATGAGAGAATGCTGGGAGGAAGCAACGCCCTGCAGTGAAAAGATCTGAGACCTCTCGAGGTCTGCCCTTCTGCGAGAGATGAAGACCCGCTCTGTCGAGGCGCGATGGGATTTTGACGTCAGAACCATGTCTGTTGAGACGTCCCACTAGAGAAGCTGATTGAACAGCACTTGAACTGCTTGATAGCGTTGATAGTGGCCTCATAGGCGACCTGGAAGGACTGCGAAATCAAAACATGGCGATGGATTCAAACGATGTGAACGGATTCTCACGCCGTTGCGGATTAGAACGTGTCGCGTCGAAGGAACGTGTCGAAGGGACACTCCGTGGTCCGGGCTGAGGGTTGTTCCAGTTGCTCCGTCGGCCGATGTGGAGGACGTTGCGGGTGAAGAATGTGCGGATGAGCTGACGACGTGAGTTGTCCTAAGAGCGATGGCCTCCAACCTAGTAGCGGTGGCAACCTACTATCGATGGCCTCCAACCTACCAGCGCTGGGCTCCAACGTACTAGAGATGGCCTCCAACCTACTAGCAATGGCCTCGTAACCCACTTCAATGCTTTTTGAATATCTGAAGACTTGGAAGCGTCCCCAAAGAGCAGATGCCAACGAGCTGAAACCGGCGTCAATGAGTTCTCTTGACGTGTCGGCGGGCTCTCCTCCCTTGGGGAAAGCAGGTGTGTTCCGAGATCCGTCATGACAAACGATCCGTCTTGACGCTCTCCCGCTACGCGACGCTGCTCTTCTTTTTGTTCGCTGCCCGGACGCAGTAGCATCTGCCAACTCAGGGGTTGTGAAGCTGTTTTTCTGGATCACCAAGAGATGGTTTTCTCACCACACCACTTGCCAAGTGTGTCGATGTCGAACCAATCCTCAAAGCCGGGACTTGAGAAGATGGACCAGATCCTACAGCATTTTTGTCGAATCCATTGAATCTTCCGTATTTCCTGTTCAAATGCTGCAGGACTTGATACATCAACTCTATCACAACCCCCCCCTGCAAGACCTCTGCAGCATCTCGTGATAAGCGGCATTGAACTGCCAGGCGCAGTTGGTCTAAGGCCACGTCCATCTGAGGAACAGCAACAAACTCGAGATCTCTGCTCCTAATCCTGTCCATTTGGAGCAAATGAACAGAGTAGGACTTCTTGGCAGACAATTCGACACCCACCACTTCTTGGTGTAGATAGGTTCCCTCTCCTCATATGTCACCGGAGCACCACTCGTGACATCCAACTGGCTGGGGAATGGGACCCACTTGGTGCACGAGGCCTTCGGTTGCTAGGAATGGCCTCCACCCTAAGAGATGGCCTCCAACCTACGAGCGACAGGAACCTAGAGGCCGGAGGAGTTTACAACTTTAGCCTGATCAAGCGTAGCTCCTTCGGGAGACTTTGACAAACCTGGGAATCTTTTTCAGGGTTTGCAAGGGTTCATTGATTGTGGCATATAATCGTTCAAGAGGCTATGAACTATGAAGCCCATCAGTTGTGATGAATTGCTGGCATTTCAGATTGTTGCGGATCTGTCAGCACCCGGAGAATCTGTTTCGTCCAGACGTGATTCTGGCACTGGCCAATCAACCAATCAGCGCCCGGCAACAGTCAGCCGATTCAAAGGGAGGCGGCCGAGAACGAAGGTGTTTTCAGGCGTGGAGCACGGATTGACGTGGGTTTGGGTTCTTTTCCCCACTGAAAACCTTCAGTTCCATGGGCGATATTGAAAGGAGTGTATCATGCCTCACTGTATTATATCTCTGTATAAGGAAGAAACAAGTGGTGCAGGATGTCATCCGAATGTAGGGGCCATAGGGGTGAAAAGAGGATCATCCTGCAAGTACCCAGGATCATCCAGGTACCTACAGGAAGCCCATGCGCAGATGTAAGCAGAACTTAGTTACTGTAGTTGATGCTCAAAGTTTTTGATGGCAACTCCCATTTGTTGCTTCACATTCCGCTTGAACTGTTCTCCAACCAGCATGTCAGTCATGTTTTAGGGGTCATCTCAGTCTCCTTGTTGAGTTGAAATGGCATTCCCACACGACCATCCCCGATGATTGGGACATGAGACATGGATGGACATCTCTGATATTGACTTGTGCGGCTTCTCGTCAGTGTAGGTGTCAAGAAAGCCTTCGGCCACCATCTGGAGAGGTCTGCTGCGCCCCTTCTGTCCACGTAAAGCCCTTGAGGCGTTCAATCGAATTGCCGGTCAAAGGGTCCAGATCGGTGAGTCAAAGCTAGATGGAAAGTTGGAGGAACTTCACCCCAATTGGAGAAGGATTTCCGGTGTGGGGCTTACTCTCTCTGTGGTTGCTGGGATTACACATTACACCTGTTGCTGTTTGGATGACCAGCCATGACCAGGCTTTGATTAGCTGAAGCTTGAGCTCATGAGAAGGTACTGTCTCACCTCCACATCATACTCGCACTGATAATCAAAACCTTTCTTGTTGAGGTAGACAAGTCCAAACGTTTTGAGGGTGACAACCTTTGGAGGAAGTGACACCCTTGCCCCCAAGCTGGTTTTTTAATCTCCCACACCACAAGTATTTAGAAACTAAGAGAGATCAACTTCCCAAAGTCATGGCGCCAAATCAGGAAAACCGTTCATTGCAGAAGTGAAGGTCTTCTCTTTCCACGACCCCTTGGCACGAGTGTGTGACAACACAATCAACATAATCCTACACTACCCATCGACTGGCTAGCTGATTATCTGTAGATCAAACTACCTCTTCAACAGATGATTTCTGTTCCACAAGCTCACTTGAGTCACTTGAGTCCGCTTTCCACCTATGACCTTTAGGGCCTCCGACCAAATAGCGATGGCCTCCAACCTATGACCTTTAGGCTAAACCCCCAAAAAGAGCTCTTTCTTCCCTTTAGGTATGCTGTCTCGTCCGATCTCTTAGATCCCTCGACCGAGCTGTGAATTATCTGCGGCAAATTTGCCGCCTGCAGCAGTCACGACCCGCCGTCTTTGGTGCCCTTCAAGTCATCGGGAGAGATGCAGCAACTCTGAAATGAACTCAAAGCAAACATATATCACAGGATCATGAAATGATCATGAACTGGTCATGAAATGATCGTTATTCCTTTGACCTTCCGAAGGATGACAAAGCCTTCAGCCTATCAAGACTCTAGTTCGTCCTCCGTCCTAACGGATTTCAAGCACCTGCGCTGTTGTGAACCACCATTTTCCACGGGGTATGCTGGGGATGTGGCCAACGGCGTGCCTTCTAAGGACCATAATTCAGTGTCTGAATGAGTATCGTCCATGTCTGGTCAAAGCCGAAGAAAAACACACATAGATTTTGGTTGGGAACGACTATATGGCTACAATACTACCTACCATATTACTAGATTGCTGGCGGACTATTGGGAACGACTCCGAAGATTCCAACAACTGCTGGTTCCCACAGAAACGAAAAGTCGACATGCAACTTGTGTTGATAGACAAGACTCTTCCTCTTCATTCCTCTAAACTCTATATAAATTCCACTTCACTCTTCTCCTGACTTGGAAACGGAATGAAATGGAAGAAGTCCATTTTTCACAAGCAGAGTGGGACCAAAGTCGTTGGCATCACTGCTCTCTCAACTCACGCCTGTCCGCGTCGAGTACCGCGTCGATGGGCGACTCGGGAGGACTACGATTTGGGTCGACACGGCGACTCACTGTGGGAATCATTCAAATACCATGGGGATTTCACCTCTGTACATTAACGAAATAAGCCATATAAATATCATATGCATGCTCTTCGGAATCTTCGGTCTACCTCCACTTCTTCAACCACCTCATGTCACCTGACGTGGGAAAAGCCGATGGTCGGGTTCGAACAGAACACTGGACCCTGTCGGGTTCGACCTCAGCGGAGACGATTGGAGACCGGCCCGTCAGGCTATGGATGGACTGTGGAACGCAGTGGAACGCAACTCCGATGAAGAGCCACTGGTTGGGTGGATCATGTTCATGGTGCATCAAATTCAGCCATCCACAAAGGCAAGAGGAGACATGTGCAGAATCTGTCCAAAACATTTAAAATCTAACACACATATTGAAAAAGCCTGTTGACAATCAACATTAGCATCTACAAGATTGGTCATTCTCAATACAGTAGATGTTTCCATCGCAGAAACTTCGCCTAGGTCGCCACCACAAACGTCTCCCGCGCAACACAGCCGCGTCCCGCGCGACGACACGGGACGGTGCCTGGTGCTCTTGGAGTCCAAGCTCCCCAGGATCGACTGGCAAGAGAGAGGCAATGCGATTTTGAGGGGAGTTTCTTGGTGAATGAGTTGGATTGTTATGGATTGTTCTATATGATGGGCTTGATATGTTACGTGGCTTTTACTTGATTCCAACTATAGTCAGGATGGAGTGTTCGTGGTACTCCCAGTCACAATCACCTGGGGAGGCCCTGGAAAACCCGTCCTGAAAACAAACATGCAGGTCCAAAAACACAAATAAAGTACGAACATGTACATTGAAATGAAGAAACACCTTGAAACAGGTCCCTTTCTGAAGAAACACCTTGATGTCTTGATGAAAGTACCTTCCGTAGGCAGAGAATCAGCTGGGGGGATTTCATGGGATTCTCAGGATAGGAACGAGTATCTTGCGCTTACCTTGGGTTCCTTGCATCCCCGGTCAGGCAGGATTCTTTCCTTCCACAAGCAAGAGTGCAACGGCCTAAAAGACATGTCCACCCTCAGCATGATACAGCAATATTGGAAGAGCTCAACCGGTAGAAACACAAAGCAACGCCTTGGCGCTTGGAGTTGCATTTCATCGCGCACCCACTTTACCACTACACTCTATCACAAACTCCCACGTCTGGCACAAGTCGGGTTGTCAGCAGTAGACGCATGGAGACCCCTTCATTTCCTTTCTGACGGCCGAGATCAACGTCAGGGACCGTCGAGAAAAAGAAACAGCTGAGCCTCCAAATTGCACAGCTGACTGTCCAAACGCTTGAGCACCTAGGTTGCTGACATGGCCTTTCTGGTCCATCTGCCACACTTCATGGCTGTGGGTTGAACACCAAGCCAACTTGAGTGTACCCCATCCTTGAACTGAACGAGATGTCCGATCTGAGGATATGATAAAATATCTAAACTTCATCTCTATTGGATGAAACGAGTTTGACCTGCACCTTACATCGTAGGGTTTCTCCACAAACAATCTGATGCTAAGGGATTTTTGTGAACCCGCCGATGCCAGATATCGGTCACTCCCTCCTAGCGTCCGTCACTCGCTTCCAACAACATGCGACGAACATCACATGCTGCAGTTGAAGAAACTTACAACCGCCGCAGGCGTGACACTGTAGTCTTTCAAAAGCTTCTGCCTAAGGACGACCAAAGATTGTTTGAAGTCACAGGCTCATGGCAGGCCCTTCTCCGTTTCTCCCAGGCACGTCCAGGGTGGAGCTGAAGGCATCTCCAGCATCTCCTGATTGATGGTTTTGGCGCTTGGAGGGATTTGGATGGAAGGCATTTAAAACCATGGCCGGAACGTCGTCCTTGTTTGGGGACACACAGACTTCTTTTCCTTTGTGTGTGTCATATATCGCACCATATTATTGCTGCAGGATGTGGCGATTGGAACCCCCAGTGCGTCTCTTCCACTTCCAAATGTGACTAGCGGAAAAAGGAGTCCAATTAGCAGCAGGGACATTTAAGGGTAGTTTGGCAATCCATGCCATGATGCGAGCTGGGTTTATGTAGGTTTACCGCTAGAGACTCACCAAGCCACTCAGTAGTTCCAAGAATGGCAAACTAGGGCTGTGTTCTTGTTGAGTTCCAGTCCTGGAGAGTTTCTCTCAGCTTCAAACCAGCAACCAGCCACAAACCTAACTACCCCTGTGGAGGAGGGTCTGCGAAGCTCCTAGTAGAGTCCTTGTTCCTAGTAGTAAGAGTGCTCCTAGTAGCGACGCGATGCCAGGAGCCCCTAGTAGCGATGCCCTTTGCTCCTAGTAGCATCCTCTACCCCCCCTTTTCTACAACCTGACTGCGATCATTTGGCAGGCTCTAGGTTTAAGCTTTGAAGCCTTCTAGTCTGCCCGGCCTGTTGATCCTCCGGCATCTGAAGCCTGGCTTTGTGGCTCGTCCATGCAAAGACTGGAAAGTGTAAGCGACTATCGCCAGACTTGGTAGACTTCCTCTTGGAATCACTTGACAGCTTATGACATGAGAATGGACATAGCATTTTGGGAGGTTTAAACATCTTTTTAACATTCACTACCCCCAGAGTTGTTTTGCTCAAAACGATGCCTCCTCCATTGGGCGCAGCAGCGCCGGTGCCAAAGAAATGCTCGAGTGAGGTGAAGCGGCCTCCGCTCAAACGGCCAGGCTGGGGCTGGAGCTCACTGGGTTTCTTGTTGAGTGCATTGCTGGTTGGAGGCCGTCGCTAGTAGTTAGGAAGCCGGGTGGTTAAAACATGTTTTGAGCAAACGTGGACCGTCAAAGTCAAGAAACCTCCCAACTGCAACGAGATGGTGCTGCACAAGCTGTGTCTGTGGCACCTCTGTGGGGAAAAAGAAGGGGTGAAGTCGGACTTCTTAAACAAGGGCCCCCTCAAGCTCTCAAGAATGAACCAACGAGATGGGTCTTGTAGACCCTCCAGCAGCGAAAACGCGTGGTAAGGTGCGGTGCATGCGTGGGATTTCTCCGGCGCCTTCAGCGACGCATCAACGACGCCGTCGATCATCGTCGATGCCTGCCTTCTCAGGAGAGAAGCTCACCCGCGCACTGCGGGGGCTGAGCCTCGGAACGTGGAACGTCCCTGGGATCCTCAGGACAGGAAGACTGAAACCTCTGAGATAGAGTCAAACGTCAAGCTTCAAGGAGGATATGTCTGGAAAGGGATTGAAGAGTATGGTTTGGTTCTATGAATTTGCCCTCAACTTGGCTAGAACTCACAGGGCAGTCTTAAGACTCAACTTCGAAGGGCAGTCATCAAGGGCTCAGTTTGATCTCTCCCGCTAGGGTTCCCATTTTGTGTTCGAGCAGTTGGAGTGTTCAGGCTGCAGCGCCGGCTTGTTGTGTGTTTACTTTAATTCAAGATAAACCATGTCCAAGCGATGTCACGATCAGTGAGCCTCAAAACCCACCGCATTTGTTCAGAGGCTTTTTCGATTTCCGTGAACAAGAGGTTTAAAATGAGGATGGCTGAAAACAGGTCTCCTGTTGCAACCTGAGCCGTTTCCGCCACACGGCAATCCATCTGGGACCCGCACCGTCGCGGGGGCGTACCCTGGCTCGTCCGTTCTGGTCATGAAGTCATCCACAAAAGCATGCAAGACAAGAAACGAACTACATCGAACTACCATACTGCAGTACTTCCAACCTACTTCCACTGGGAGAGTTCACTCCTCTCATTGTTCCTCATCTTCTTACTGTGAGCTACACAGTCCACTGGTGTAGACTCGCTGCACGACGGGCCCCGCTGCGGGTCGCGCCGACGCGAGAGTTTGTGCGGCACCTGAAGTCGAGGAGTGGATGCCTCGATGGAGCACCGAAGCCTGGCGAAGCGACACACCGTCACCACCGTGTGAAGCAGAGGACCTACACGCAGGATCAGGTGTCCGGAAGGAGAAAAGCGTCCACCGTGACCTGCGACGAAAGGGATGTGAGAGTGACCAGAGTTCGACGAATTCATGTTCGAGCTGGCGAGTGACTCGAGTGACCTGAGTCGATGGCAACTCACCAACTACCTTTGGGGGGAGGACTTTCGTTCTCCTCGACCCAAACGGTTCTAAAAAAGACCGAATCCGCCAGCGCCCAGCAAAAAGATGGCTGCCCTACTCAGCCACTGCGACCGTAATCGCAGCCAAGGCGGCTTTTCCAGAGACTCCGAGACGGGCTGCAGGATCATCTGTGCCTCGGTCGTTTCAAAGCCTGGTCACGACCGATACTCGGGTAATTTCAAACAGGTATCGGTTCACATATAAACATCCATCTAGAATGAACTGCTGAAAAGCACAGAACCACTATGGATTTAAATCGCATCATATTCATATATAAACTGCTTCACGGATTGACAGCCAGCAAGCTCAAGCTTGATAGCACCTCAGTGAGCCACTTTTGACTTGAGGGATTGTGGGTTCATGAACATCTGGCGTTAGCTGGCGTTTTTGTCTCACAAAATCTGAAGCCGGCAACTGTCGTGGTTCATCCAGAAAGGCTCACACAATTGTTTGGTCAAACGTTTGCATGACATTGACAAACAGATGTGTACCCGCCGAACCTTTGTTTGCATCGGACACCTTATATAATTACTCACTTTAAAGCATCTTTGAGCACAAATCACCTCCCAAGACCATGGAGCTGCTGGTAGAAAAAGACCGACAGAAATACACCATGCATTGTGGTTTGGATGCATCCGTGCTTTGAACCAAACCGTTGTGTTGGTCTTTCAATCGCTCCATTTCAGGATGCGTCCCTTTCCAAGGCATCCAACGACTTTCACGTCATCTTCCAAGGAAGGCTCCGACGGCGCCCTGAGGATCCAGCCGCAGAGAGAGAGAGAGAGTAACCATCGTGATTTGCTCTGGAATCTTTTGCCCTTGATCCTCGTTCCACGTCTTTTTCTTCTTCTTCTTCTTCTTCTTGATTCCATGATTCCTTGATCATTCCATGTGGACATCGTCATCGAGGCCGCGCAGCCCGCCGCGCGACAGCGCGGACCGAGCGGCCGTCGCGCCTGTCCCTCCGTTCCAGCTCCCGTGCCTTTTCAGCCTCAGCCGCGAAAACGTGTGAAATCCCGGTGGGCCAGCCCCAACCAGTGACAGGGTGAGATGGAGATCAAACCACCAGAATGGTCAAGTTGAATAAGATGAAAATAAGAAGAGTATGATGGGTGAATATATGACATGAATATGAATATGGCATGATAATTAAGATGAATATATGACATGAATACCTTCTTCTTAAAGCTTTCTTCGACTTCAGACCATCCGTGGCTCCCCGACCACCAGCTGCGTCCAACCTGGGCCAGCTCTCGCTTCTTGTTACTTATAGCCAGGAGCTACGTTCGTAGCGTCCTTGCTCCTAGTAGAAATGCCCTTGTACCTACTAGTAGCTTCTATTTCAGGCTCATCTTTCTGATTTGGACATGCCGTTTCGGACATTCTGTCCAGCTCCATTTCTGACCGCCTAGAAACAAGAGTAAACCGGTAAGCGAGTAAGAGGTAACAATGAAACCAGGCGCTGGCGATTTTTGCTTTGGTCATTCCCTAGAGTCCACCACAACATACTACTCTTTAAATGTTCTTGTACAGTGCATATAAGGATTATCCCAGAATCTTATCTATCAGAACCACCAACAGCATCAGCCAAGCTTCTGATGTTCTGTACTTGCACATTTCTTTCACTGGTGTCCCAGAGTCCCTTCTCATTTCACTTCATCACTTCTGTTGGTAGTGGTGTGCACCGACTCAGCCACTGATTCTTGTGGGGACACCACACCCCGAGAGACGCAAAAACATGTCACAGACATCGCAAACAAAATGTGTAGATGCATAAAAATCTTGGCTCCATGAGAACAGTCTGAGGTTAGACAACAAATTGCTGTGACCCCACTTTGAGGTTGCAGTGTGCCTCGCAGCTCCGACACTTGTTTGGGCTTTGTCATGCGAACAGTCTGAGACGTCATGCGCATGTCACACATACACGCAGGTCCATCCGCCTGGGCTTTTGTTCAGCACCCTCGGAGAGGCCTGAGTCAACTAGCGGCATGGTTATTTGGGTCAGATGTCAGACTAGTGACTAATGGGTCGGATGATGGACTCGATGTTGGATGGTTTGTCAAATGATAGTTAGTTAGATGACTGATTTGTTGGCATTTTTTACAACCAGATTGGTCAATTCCCATTCTCTAGATTCTCTTACCACCCCTCTGACCCCCTTGCACTTGCTGAAGCTTCGGAGGACTCCGAAATGACTTCCCTCCACAGCCAGCCTCAGTGGAGTCAGTGCCGTCCGCCATTGGAGGGGTCCAAGGAAACGCCTCCTGACACGTTCGGCCGAAAAGAGTGACGATTTGTCCTGACCTCAACTGGGAACACCGACAACGAAAGACTTCACACATGCCTTTTCACCAAGCGCGACGCGGCCACCAAGACGCCTGATATCGGACACCCACGAATACGCGGCGGTTCCATATCCATCTAGATGGAGATGGAGATGACTTCAAAAGCTCCCAATCTGCAAACAAAGCTGTATCAACGAAAGCCCCAAACCGAGCATGCCTTGGTCAGCAGAAAACATTCACAAGCACCCCAGGCGCCTGGGTTTGTGTTGAGGTCACCCAGGGCCTGTCGTGAAGGCACGGAAGCCGATTGGCCATGTAATGTTTCCAGTGTCAAACTTCTCACACGGCGGAGTGTTTCCAATAAAGTGACTGCATGTTACACCAAAAGCGGAACGAACTGATAGCCTCCTGGCCAATGGGGAAAACACACAACCCATGGTCTTCTAGGTAACTCTAGTAACTTGCTGACACTTCTCCAACAGGCCCCAACGAACGACCTACTAAATATATCCTCAAGTCCATATATATATATATTATATATACAATATATATATATACAATATATACACAGTATATCTCTTTTATAGGTCTCCTTTTCTTTTGGGCGACACGCCCGCCCACGAGCCCTTCGCCGCCTGGTGTGGGGCACCACCACGGTGGAGGCGTCCGAGCCCCAGGAGTTCACGGCCATCGGGCCTCGGGCTGGACCGACCGAGGCCCGGGACGGGGAGGAGGAGCTGCTAGCGGGACGTGGGCATTTTGCGGCATAGATCTAATCAATTGGGTTAGAAGAACCAACCCGTAAAATAAAGAGCCAAGCATCGAGTCAAGTGATCGAGCCAAGTGATCTGTATTGGAAAAAAAACAGAAATCAAGGGAAGTGACCCCTTCAATAGGGCCAAGGGGTTGCATATCCAGCACGATCTCCTGTTTCTTTCCTACACATGTGATTGGAACTCTAATTACTTTCACCGGATCGTCTGCTGAAGTACTCCTGTCTAAAACGGAAAACCGGTGCATCCAACGCAGTCCCAAACAAGTGGCATCCTTTGATGTTTCCTTCCCGGAAGAAGGACAAGTGACAAGTGGTGACCGGATACAGAAAAGGGAACAAACATTGGGAAATCCTGCAGCAGCAAATTCAATACCAAATCCTCCATCCAAAAATGTCTCCCGAATTTCAGCTCTTCATCAGAAGTGTTTCTCTGTGAAACTCTCTCTCTCTCTCTCTCTGAGGTGAGCACTGGAGGCTTCAGGAAACACCCTGGCGGTCAAGGGCCATGCATTCAGCTGAAGGTTCATGTGATCATCTGGTCTGGGTACAGAAGTGGGAGATCGGTTCCTTTCATGTGAAGGCTTACGCTTTCGACAAAGAACATTCTTGGAAGGCTTGTTGCACACAAGCACACAAGGGTAAGATAGGGCTCCATCCGCTGGTGAATCAAGACCTTACTTCAAGCAACATCAAGCTTGAACATTGGCCGACTCAAACTGGAAATGCGTTGAACGCAGGATCGGCCACGGAACGCCACCAACCCCCCCCCCAAACAAGTCAACCTCCTTTCAACTCTCCAGGTTGTGGCCAAATGTGGTAGTTTGTGATTATCATTGATTGATTCAAGCTCAATATCGCCTTCCGATGGTCATCGAGTGGCAAAGACCACCACGAAAGACTTGCACTAAAGTATTGGTGCTCCGTTGAGCATCGCCAAATTCTGGCATTGGGCTCGTCGCTTGTTGAACAGTCCGACGGAGGGCATACAGGACTTGCAAGACAACGACGGGGGTCTTGTTTGCATCTCCACAAATGCATACATAGCTATTCTGGTCCATCGTGGGCCTATGTGTCATTGAATCATAGGATATCAATTAGCAAGAGAACCTCTTTCTGTGAGGAAAAACTATACAAATCTATTCTACTCTTCAACACTGTTGCCATCTGCCCAACCGCCTGGGTGCCACCTGAACCGTCGAAGTCGTCGACCAGGTCTGGTCCTCACAATTTCCAGCCCTCGCACCGGGGTCCGAGACCGATACTAGTAGTAACAAGAAGCTAGTAGTAACAGGTGCCACGCTAGTAGTAACAAGTGCCTTACTAGTAGTAGCAAGAAGCTATTAGAAACAAGAAGCTACTAGGAACAAGTGCCACGCTAGTAGTAACAGGTGCCTTACTAGTAGTATAGGATACCCACCCGTGCTCGTTCTCGTCTCCTCGGAGCCCCGGAACTCGTAGCGTCCGATCGCTCCGTTCGAGTCGCGAGGCCCTTTGCTACGTTCGGAGCTCCTAGTAGTACGGCCAGGAGCCCTGTTCGTAGCGTCCTTGTTCCTAGTAGTAAGGCCAGAAGCCCCTAGTAGCTCGGTTGCGGTGGTCTTTGTGTTGGTGTGGTCTGTCTGTGTCCTGTCTGGCTGTTTCTGTGATCGGATCACGGGTGAGGGCATGTTCATACACTCTTGATCATACAATATATATATACTTATATACTTACTATATAGACTTATATAACATCTATTTATATATATATACCTCAGAACCCCCGAAAGGTAACAGGGCCCTTGGGTGGTGCCAAACATGCAAGGAGCACCTTCGGGGTTCCTCCACCAGAGTCCACTCCGGTGACTGTCCTACCGTTTTGACCGCTACTAGGAACAAAGGGCATCGCTACTAGGAGCAAGGACGCTACTAGTAGCTCCTGGCATCGCTACTAGGAACAAGAAGCTCCTAGTAGCAAAGGGCATCGCTACTAGGAGCAAATAGCTACTAGGAACAAGAAGCTACAATGAGCAAAGGGCATTACTGGGGCCCGGATTGAGGAAACGAATGATCGACATCGCAGAAATGTAGCATACTTGGGATATGCATGGGTGAGGCTTCCCAGTTGTCCAAGTTTGCTAGGTTGCTGCTTTGGGGTTGCTGCTTTCCAGGAACGAAGACGCTACAAGGGCAAAGTGACCTGCAGCGATGTTGCTTCGGCATCCTCCTACTGAGTGACTTTAGTGACCTCCAATGGGTTGGCTTATCAGGTACTCTCTCAAAGTGCCAAAGTTCTACATGTTTTTTTTTTCACACATCTTTACACACTGCCTTCAACGACTCAACCTCACACCGCTCACCCTCATGGCCAAGCATCGATGGTCCGCGGCGTCGTCCTTGGGGTCATCCGTGGGGTGGTCACCTGGGAGAAGCGCGATCAGGTATTGTTCCCTAGGCCTCCCAGGTGACCTGGGTGAGCTGGCAACGATCAAAGTTTGAATTCTTAAGCGCGGAAATGGATTGGCGATGACGGAAATCACGCATTTCAGATACTTGCAAAGGGGTGGATTTTACAGATGATATCTGTCTACATCTGAGATTCCTTGAGCTGGGGCATGCGCCGCGGGACATAGTCCTTTGAATCATCTGCTTAATTACACAGGATGGCCAGGTTTACTGTTTGGAACCCATCACACAAACAAGTTTGGAGCTGACCTCCTAAGGTATTTGATGGTACTTGGCCATCCCAACGCAGCACGTCACCCCTCTAGACTTGGCCGGAGAGCTGAACAACACCAAGTCACATAGGTCACCGGCGCCGCCGTATAGGTCACTGGCGCCGTGTAGCTCACCGCGGGCATCGTTGTATAGGTGACCGGTGCAGGCGCCACGTAGGTCACAGGGGCCGGCGGGGTGGGTGGGGTCAGCGATCCCATCGCCTGAAGAGCCGGTTCTCACTGCCTGTTTGTCTGTTTGTTTTGGTTTAGAGACACAGCATGATGCAAACTATTTTTGTCGGCAATGATGTTTGGTCTATTTTCTTTCAAGGGGATCTATGCGGCATCTCCATATTCCAAAACACATCACCTTCAGAGCAGCAAACTCAAGCAAGCTTGCCATTTCTGCGCTTTACTCACTACAGTTCTTGACCCCGTGTACTTCCCTCTACTCTTCATTCCTTGTCTCATCTTGTCTCCCAATCTTTGTACTTGCTTGTCTTCATTAGTCTTCCAGTGCAAAACCTCACTGTTCCGTACTTTGATTTACAGTACTTCTCTCTGGTTTTCTCCCCTGCTTCTACCTGTTCGCGACGGTTGGTCGTCTCTCCTCTTCTTGCCTGTTCTTTGCCCTCTGTCGCTCAATTGCTTGACCTGTTCTATCCTTGTCCCTCCTTTCCGGTCCATTTCTCGATACCGTCCTCTACTAATTACCATCCCCACACCGGCACAAGAAATGCACTACTTAATTATTCTGGTGCTTTGAAGTCATGGCTCGACACCGTTTTTTTGATGACAGCGATGTGGCCGCGTTGATCGGTACCCAAATCCGCCTGTAAGCTTGGCTTCTCCATCTCCGACCCCGTGAAGCCTGGGCTGCGAAATCTCTCATTGGACAAGTGTCTTTTTCAGCGTCTCCTTTGGAAGTTAAAAACATTTCGTGAAGTCACTCTAAATGAAAAATGAGTGTGTCTTGCACATCATCTCCCAAGAAATGAAGATCCAAAGAAGAAACGGAAACACATGGAGATCCGGAAGCCTCCCCCTTCAGCCAAGTCTCCCAAGTTTCCGTCTTCAGGTGGCGCCTACCGACAGGTTGCTGCCATGGTCGGTCCCTTTCTATTTTTCAGAAAACGGCTGACCCGCCAAGTGATATGGAAATATCTATATGTGTCAATATATGTATATGTTTCAGGAGATGTCAGGAAAAGAACATCGTATAGAGTATAGACGCTACCCAAAGCCATGGGTTTTCCAACAAAACAGTTGGTTGTAAGGGTACATCCTCAGACAAACATGTAGGGTCTGTCCCAAAATGCAAAGCAGGACTTAACAAACGACAATCTGGTTTTCGGTTGAGAAAGCTGCTATTGGAAGAGGGAGGGACAAAGTAGACTAACTCCAGCCCACTTTAACGGACATTTTCCAGCAAATATTACAGTGCATGAACACTTGAAAAACATAAGAAGCAAAAGACACCATAGACACCATATTCCACAGATTTGTAGCATCTACATCGGCACCCCCTGTAGTGTGTTCAGTTGCGCATTGCCCATGTGTTTTCTCGATTTCGGGAGCATTCCATGGAG